TGGTTCACAACCATTTGTAACTCCAGTTCCAGGAAATCTGATGCCCTCTTCTGGCCTCTTCAAGCACCAGGCATGCACATGATATACATGCAGGCAAAACATGCACACATAAAACATAAAATCAAACTAATTTAAAAGAAAAACTTTCAATGACTTCACTTGTATCCAAAATTCTGAAGATATGGCAACTCATTAGATTATAATTGCGATGGATCTACCTGTATGTAAATTACCCCATCACTTATTAGATGATGCATATGTGGTGAAGATTTTGTACAATAGAAAAAGGATAGCTTGGGACTGAGGAAATGGTTCAGTGTCACACAAACTTGAGGACTGGAGTTAAGATGGTAATTACAGCACTCAGAAAGCAGAAATGAGGGTAGGTATCCTGGGACAAGCTGGATAGCCTTGCTAGTCATATAGACAAGCTCTGGGTTCAACTGAAAAACCTTGCCTTATAGAATAAGGTGGAGAGTGATAGAAAAAACTCAACATCAACCCCAGGCCTCCACACATGCAACAGGTGTTCCATAGATACTGGATCGTGCATATACATACACATGAGAAAAATCAAATAAAAGCTGGGAGGTGGTGGTTCACGCCTTTAATCCCAGCACTTGGGAAACAGAGGCAGGCCTGGTCTACAGAGTGAGTTCCAGGACAGCTAGGACTGTTACACAGAGAAACCCTGTCTTTGAAAACCAAAATAAATAAATAAATCAGGGTAGCTTGCTCCTAATAGTTTGGAGGTGGCAGCAGGAATTCAAGCACAGCCTCAGCTATACACTAAACTCTAGGCCAGCATGGGCCATATGAACTATCAAAAAACAATATGAAAACCACACCTGGCTTATGGGATTCTTTTTTTTTTCCGCTAAAGGGTTAAAGTCTTGTTTTGCAGCTGAAGTTGCCTCATAAGAACTGTACAAGATCAAGGTAGCCAACAGTATAATATTAAGGGGAAGCAGTTCATGAGCTCCCACCTATAACTGGGGAGCTACTAATAGTGTATGGCTTCTAGGGGAGGGAAAATCAGTTTTCTTTAAGGGTGTGGTTTTTTATAGATCAACCATGCTCCAGTGAATGGTCCCACACCCAGAAATACATGGGCAGCACAAATTGGACTTGATGGTTATATTTAAAAAGAGGACACAGTTGGGGAGGGGGTTAAAGAAGCAGTGATGAATCTGGGAGGAGTTAAGGGAGGGGTGGGGGTAAATGATTACAATACATTGTATGAAATTCTCAAAGAATCAATTAAAAATATTGTAAGTGCCTTGTTTGGGAGACTGAAGAGATGGCCCAGCCACTAAGGGTACACACTGTTGTTTTTCCAGAGGACTTGAGTTTAGTTCCTGGCATCCACAGCAGTGAACTCAGCTGCAGCTCCAGAGGATCTGATGCCTTCTTCTGGTCTCCAGGGGCACATGCACTCACATGCATGAACTCAAACTTAGCACACACACACACAATTATTTTTTAAATTAAATCTTGTATCTTAAACATGGTGTCTTCAGCAATAGGGACTTACATTCATCTCTCCAGTTCCTGTCTCTAAAATAAAGATTAAGAAAAAGAAATAAAGCCGGGCGATGGTGGCGCACGCCTTTAATCCCAGCACTCGGGAGGCAGAGGTAGGCGGATCTCTGTGAGTTCGAGACCAGCCTGGTCTAGAGAGCTAGTTCCAGGACAGGCTCCAAAGCCACAGAGAAACCCTGTCTCGAAAAACCAAAAAAAAAAAAAAAAAGAAAAAGAAATAAAGTCGGGCGGTGGTGGCGCACGCCTTTAATCCCAGCACTCGGGAGGCAGAGGCAGGCGGATCTTGTGAGTTCGAGACCAGCCTGGTCTACAAGAGCTAGTTCCAGGACAGGCTCCAAAACCACAGAGAAACCCTGTCTCGAAAAAACCAAAAAAAAGAAAAGAAAAGAAATAAGAGAGAACACTAATACCAGAGCCCATCAGATCAATAACTGACACCAAGTTTAACAGATGAGACTCCGAATAGGAACTTGGAATGGCTTTTGAATTCAGGGCAGAATAGTGAAGAAAAGGCAAGCAGAGGGACAGAAGCCTAGATGCACCCAGTGGGTTCTAGTTGAATATTACACAGGACACAGTAGCACAGATGTGTGAGGAAAGAGACTGAGACCTGGGAAAATGATCTGCCCCTGTCTTAACTGCCTAGCACTGAAAACAAGACAGGGACTAGTAGCTCCCTCCTCTTTTGTGAGGCAGGGTCAGGGTCAGAAGAGTCATGCCTTAGTAGTGATGAAAACCTACTTCTATACACAGAAAGATTCTGCTCCATGCAGCACACCCTCAAAGTAACATACAAAGACTCAGTTGCTTTCCAAGGGATACAAAAAAGCGGAAAAACTCAACTCAGATAGAAGGAAATAGTCATTCAGAGTAGAAAGGAAGAGGCACAACTGCCTTTATTCTAAGAAACATGATAACCTATAATGAAAATCTCATGGCATCTACAGATGAACCACTAGGCTGAATGTAGCCAAGTTGCAAGACATATGTTTTATAGGGGTTAATGTGTATCCCCAAATGCCAGTTGTCAGGCACTTTTCCTTGATAGGTGGAGAGGCTACAAAACCTAAGCTCTGTTTCTGGGTTATTTATTCTTACATAAACAAAGTTTTTTTTGGGGGGGAGAGTATATTGGTATTTGGTTTAGGAGGGGGAATATCAGCAGTGCTAAGGATTTGGGAAAACAGTATCTGGTGAGTAGAGACTCATTTTCAATTCACTGGGGTATGTCAAGAACATTCAAAGAAATCTTACTGATAGCTCAAAAATTAACCAAGAATAATGATTTGTTCAAACTTTTTTTTGGAGGATGCAGTTCTTTATTGGAATATTTTCAATTGTGTTTGTAAACATTAACACTAGGGGAAAACAAAGTCTTTTTCCATTCTTCCAACTTCAAAGGTGAAAAAGAACAAAGGTAAAAAAGAACAAAGATCATGTCTGGAAACTTAGGCAGGGGTTAAAGATCACTACATCATTCATCTCAGGCTAGACTAGAACTAGAGAGTCCCCTGCCTCTGCCTCCAGAATGTGGGATTACTGATGTGTACTACATTTATTCTAGTTCAACATGTGAGTCACCCTTATAACCTGGTACCCAAATTTTTTTGTTTGTTTGTTTTTCAAGACAGGTTTTTCTCTGTAGTTCTTGCTGTCCTGAAACTTGCTCTGTAAACCAGGCTGGCCTCAAACTCAAGAGATTCTCCTGCCTTTGCCTCCCAAGTGCTAGGATTAAAGGCGTGTACTACCACTGCCCATGAATGAATGAAATGAATTTTTAAGTATTCAACAATTATATTAAATTGCATCATATATGTGCCTTTTCTACAATGCTTAAAATTGTTTTTATGTGCTGGGTAGTGGTGTTTCACATCTTTAATCCCAGCACTAAGGAGGCAGAGGCAGGCAGATCTCTGTGAGTTTGAGGCCAGCCTGGTCTACAAGAGCTAGTTCCAGGACAGGCTCTAAAGCAACAGAGAAACCCTGTCTCGAAAAACAAAACAAAACAAAACAAAAAGCAGCTATGGAGTTTGAGGCCAGCCTAAGCTATGAGACCCTGTCTCAAAAAATAAAAACAACAAATTGACTAGAAAGGGAAAATTCACTTTAGGTGAAAAAATACTTAGGAAGAACTACAATGCTAAACTTGGAAAAAGTTTGCGTTCTATTATTGCTATTCACTTAAAATTATATTTATTTAGTGTGTGTGTGTGTGTGTGTGTGTGTGTGTATGCACATGTGCAAGCTCTCCCCAAAGTCAGAGGACAACTTTTAGGAGTTGGTCCTTTCCTGTTACTTTGTGGTATTCAGGACTTAAATTCATGTTTTCATGTGAGTGATTTAAAAAACTTTTCATTTTATGTGTATAGGCGTTTTGCCTGCTTGTATGTCTGTATACCACATGAATAAAGTGACCACAGAGGCCAGAAGGGATCATTGGATGCTTTGGGACTGGACATAAACAGTTTGAGTCCATGTGCATGCTGCAGATCAAACGGAGGATCTCTGGAAGAAAAGCCAGTGTTCTTAATATTGAGCCATCTTTACAGTCTCAATAAAAATAAATCTTAAAGCCAGGTGGTGGAGGTACACACTTTTAATCCCAGCAAAGGCAGAAAGAGCTCTGTGCATCTGTGTGTAGGCCACCCTGGTCTACAGAGCAAGTCCCAGGACTGCCACTGCTACATAATGATAGTCTGTTTTAAAAAAGTAATTTTTGACAATTTCATATATGTTTATAAAGTATTTTAAGTACATTATATTATCCCCTATTATCCTCTCATCCTCATCGAACCCTTTCTTCCTAACAACTACATCTCTGTTTTTATGTCTGTCTTTAGTGCCCTACTAAGTTTAATTAGGGTTGCTTGCATAGTCATGGGTGTTGGGTTATTTACAGGAGTATGAGCAATTTAACAGTGGTTACACTACTGAAGAAAAACAACTCAGTTTCCCCAGCAGCCATTAACTGCCAATATCTCCTCAGAAGAGGGGCCTCATGATATTGCAATACATTTATTATACTGATAAAATTCTTATACCAAAAGTTTCCCAAAGTGGAGGCACTAGTGAGCCTTGCATGAGAGGGTGCATGTAGTTTTAATTTTCCTTTATTTCTGAAATTGTCTTCATCTACTTTCAGTGTTGGGATTGAATTAAGGACCACATACTTTAGGTGAATATTCCTATCTTGTACTAACAAATACCTGAATTCCAGAGTCTCTCCTCTGACACAAGGAAAAAGTCAAAGAAAATCTAGAGGCTGAAAATAAACTCAAATACAGATTAGAAGCACAGCTTTATTTTCTTCAGCAACAAACATTTAAGCACCAGACTAAACAAGTGGCCGCTAAGTACCTGAAGACCAAGTCAGGCAAAAAATATTAGGCCTCACATTTAAGTAGCAGCTACTGTTTTTGGAATCTCTTGCTTGTACTGCTTAGGAGGGACCAGACATAAGGTCAAACCTGAGCGCCTTCTCCTAGCCAGGCTTAACGAGAAACTGGGGGCCCAAAGCGCTGTATGGTGTTCACCACTAGGGAAAGCTGGTCAAGAAAGTTCATGATGGAAATTCGGAGGAGGCGAGAGTCTTCCGAGATCCAGTGTCTAAGAGGAAAAATAATATTGTTATTAAGTTCAAAATCATAATTCCTATCTTTCCTTTTTTTTTTGGAAAGAGAGAATCTCACAATGTAGCTCTGACTGGTGTGGAATTCATAGAAATCTGCCTCTGCTTCCTTCCCTTTCTTGATCTCCCCTCATATCTTGCAGATAAAGACTGGTCCAGTGCACCAATCCTCTCCTTAGAAATCACCCTAGTGTGCCATCTCTAAAGAAGTGCAGTCTTGGGTGAAGAACAGCCCAGTCACCTACCCAGAGTGCCAGACTATTTCAGCACTTACACTTCCAGCACGCAGCCGCTCACTTTAAGCTCCTTCCCCAACAGTCCTTGGTGCGGTTCGGCATCAGGAGCTAGGGACCCACAGGCGATTTCTGCCTCCAAAGAGGTCGGGAAAGGCACTGTAAGAGCACTGATGGAGAGTCAGGAAAGGCACAATCTTGAATCAATTTTGCCTCCTTGCACCTCTAAAAACATCTCATCCGGTTTAAGCTCCCCAGACTACATCTTTCACATTACTTGAGCAATTCCTGCTCATTTCCCTCCACCCTTTGTTCTCTTCTCATGCCCAGACCGCCCATGGTTAACATACCTCAATCACACCCCCGCCCCGACTACCCCTTTCCCAGCCTCAAGCATCCAGAAGGTGGCCCAGTTGTCTCTGTCGGTAGGATACAATCTGTGATGTCGGATCCCCGGCCTTTGGGTTAAAGGCATGGTGCTTTTGCTCGAACCGGAGACTTCCGGTGCTCGTGCAACAGGGTGAGCTCCACTGGGAATAACTGCCACTGTGCCTGCATCGCCAGGACAGCAGCAGCTAGTCAGTGAATCCGCGCCATGTGCAGTGTGGCCTAACCCTCTTTGTGCTCCCTGCATGTCTACGGCTGCTCCACTTTCCAACCCATCCTGCGCCACCGCTGCAACCCAGAGCCCGCCTTATCCTCCGGAAGCTCCGCCCTCGTTCAGGCCGCCAATCCCCACTTGCACCTGCGCGAATGGCCGGGCGATAAAGTTGCTGAATTGGGTCAGTCCCACCTGGAGACTTCTGCCCGGATCTCTAGGATGTTGATCTGGTCTGCGTCTGCCTCCAAAGTGCCCTACCACGCCTAGCTTTCCTTTCAGTTTCTTTTTTTTTTAATTTATTTATTTATTAAAGATTTCTGTCTCTTCCCCGCCACCGCCTCCCATTTCCCTCCCCCTCCCCCCAATTAAGTCCCCCCCCCAGCCCGAAAAGCAATCAGGGTTCCCTGTCCTGTGGGAAGTCCAAGGAACCCCCACCTCCATCCAGGTCTAGTAAGTTGAGCATCCAAACTGCCTAGGCTCCCACAAAGCCAGTGCGTGCAGTAGGATCCTTTCAGTTTCTTAAAAGCGATCTAAGGAGTTGCACAGTGGTAGCACACGCCTTTAGTCCTAGCCCTGAGAGGCAGTAAGGGGTGGATCTCTGTGAATTTGAGGCCAGCCTAGTCTACAGAGCAAATTCCGGGACAGCCAGGATTACACAGAGAAACCCTATCTCGAAAAACCAATAAAAAAGAAAGAAAGAAAGGAAGGAAGGAAGGAAGGAAGGGAAAGAAGAAAAAAAGGATCTAAGGTGATATTTACCCAAACCAAAACAAAGCAATCAAAAATAGCAATAAAATGCTATAAACCAAAAAAATTGGCCTAGTGGGATGTTGCCTGCCTGAAATTCCAGCATTTAGGATAGCAGCTCTCATCCTGAGTGAGGTAACCCAGACACAGATAGACAGATAAACAAACATGGTCTACACACACTCGTAAGTGGATAAAATAAAATAAAATAAAATAAAGGATAACCAGCCTGCAGGCCACAACCCCAGAGACGACAGGAAACAACGAGAACCGTAAGAGAGACATACATGGATTCCCCCCTGGAAGGGGATGTAGACAAGATCTCTTTGGTAGTGGCAGCGGGGGTGGGAGGTGGGGCGTGGGGAGGTGGGGGGTGTAATAGGGGAGTAGTGAGGTGAGAAGGGGAGCAGGGAGGAGAACATGAATGATCAGAAAGATTGAGTTGGGTGAAGGACACAGAGGGAGAGCAAGGAAAGAGATACATTGAAAGAAGGAGCCATTATGGGGTTAGTGAGAAATCAGGCACTAGGAAAATTCCCAGGAATTCACAAGGATGTTAAAACTTAAAACTTGGTTTTGTCTTCTATGGATTAGGATTATACTCTAGGTCTCAGGACCACAGCTAAAAACTAGAGACTAAAATATTCCTTCTAATCTTCTTGCCTCTACTAATATTGATAAGATGTAACTGATTGGGTAAGCTGTATGTCCAAATTTAACTTATACAACTACTACAACAACAACAAACCCCCAAAACGAAAACCAAAAGAAAACAAAAAGCAAGACAGATAAAACAATTCTGAACAATAAACAAACAAAAACAAAAAAAAAAACTTCTGGAGGTCGCACCATTCCTAATTTCAAGTTGTACTACAAAGCTACAGTATTAAAAGCAGCATGGTATTGGCATGAAAACAGACATATTGGTTAGTGGAATTGAATTGAAGACTCATATAAATCCACATACCTATGGACACCTCTTTTTTGATAAAGAAGCCAGAAATACACACTGGAAAACAAGACAGCATTTTCAACAAATGGTGCTGGTCAAACTGAATGTCTGCATGTAGAAGAATGATAACAGAAACTGAAAAGCTTCTGTAAGGCAAAAGATATCATCATTCGGACAAAGCAGCAGCCTACAGAATGGAAAAAGACTTTTGCCAACTCCACATTCAATAGAGAACTAATATCTAAAATACATAAATAATTAAAGAAACTTGATAACAAAAATCAAATAATATAATTTAAAAATGGGGTATAGGTCTAAACAGAGAATTCTCAATAGAGGAAACTCAAATGGCTGAGAAACACTTAAATGATAAATGCTAAAATATATGAAGGTGATCCTAATAATGAGGGTCTCCAAATAATGAGGGAGATGCAGTCCCAACTGGCCATCTCTTGTCACCAAATGACACTTCTAGTACCACAACTGGGTTACATCCAATTGTGTTGTTGGTCAAGGGGTTCCATGGAAACCCCCAAACAACCCAGGTTGTTGCCAAGATAATAGATTGCTTTCCTCAAAGTAATAGTAAAGTCCCATTGCTCAAGACAAGACCACAGAACTTATTGAACATGGATAGGACAAGCTGGTGCCTACATAGAACCTTCACCCCTATGTTCTAGTGTATTTGGTACAGGAAGGTACTCTACAGGCTCTCAAAAAGAGAAACAGGCCTTTAATGGCATGGTGGCACACGCCTTTAATCCCAACACTCAGGAGGCAGAGGCAGATGGATCTCTGTGAGTTCGAGGTTAACTTTGTCTACAAGAGCTAGTTCCAGGTAAGGCTCCAAAGCCACAGAGAAACCCTGTCTCGAAAAACCAAAGAGAGCCGGGCGGTGGTGGTGCATGCCTTTAATCCCAGCACTCGGGAGGCAAAGGCAGGCGGATCTCTGTGAGTTCGAGACCAGCCTGGTCTACAGAGCTAGTTCCAGGACAGGCTCCAAAACCACAGAGAAACCCTGTCTCGAAAAACCAAAAAAAAAAAAAAAAAAAAGAAAAAAAAAGAAAAACCAAAGAGAGAGAGAGAAACAAAACAACAACCCAGTCACAAACTCTTTTTTTTTTCACATTAAAACTCTTTTTTTTTTTTTTTTTGGTTTTTCGAGACAGGGTTTCTCTGTGGCTTTGGAGCCTGTCCTGGAACTAGCTCTGTAGACCAGGCTGGTCTCGAACTCACAGAGATCCGCCTGCCTCTGCCTCCCGAGTGCTGGGATTAAAGGCGTGCGCCATCATCGCCCGGCTATCTTGTTATATTTTATTTTGTTATGTTTTGTTGTTATCTTTTAGAAGTCTGTTCTTTTCTAATGAGAGATAGAAGGGGGTAGAAGGAAAGGGGAAAGTGTAATCAGGATAAATTATGTGAGAAAATAATCTATTTTCTTCTTCTTTCTTTATTTTTGTGACAGAGTTTCTTTGTTTAGCTTTGGAGCCTGTCCTGGAACTCGCTCTGTAGACCAGGCTGGCCTTGAACTCACAGACATCTGCCTGCCTCTGTCTCCCAAGTGCTGGGATTAAAGGTGTGCGCCACCACTGCCTGGCAAGAATGTATTTTAAATGAAAGGGGGAAAATTAAAAAGAAATTTTAAAAATGAAGATGCTATGATGAAATCAATTACTTTGTAGGGTAACCTAAAAGATTATTTAATTTTTATTTTTTGTTTTTGTTTTTGAGATGGAGTCTCTCAATATATTCTTAGCCGTCCTGGAACTATGTGACCAAATTGGCCTCAAACTCACAGAGAACCACCTATCTCTGCCTCCTGAGTGCTGTGAGTAAAGGCATGCACCATCATGCCTGGCTTTTAACATTTAAAGGGGAGAAAAGCTGAGGATATGTTTTATTGGTTAAATTCTTTCCTAGAATGTACAAGGCTCTGGGATCAATCTGTATTACCCCAAAAATACAAAAATAAGCAGATAAACCAAAACTGGACATGATAGCACTTCTGTGATTCAAGTACTTGAGAAGCTGAAGCAGGAGGATTGCCATGAGTTTGAGGCTAGATTGGGGTATATAGAGAGTACTTGGTAGTCTTCCTGTCTCATGAAACAAGGAAGTAAAAGACAAAAAAGAAAAGAAAAGAAAAAAGCATAGCAGGAATTTAACACACATGCAGGTACACATAATTACTGTGGTAAAATTTTCAGGAAGGCTAAACCAGAAACTACTTAAAATGCTTTTCTATAGGGAATTGAGATAGCTGCTCTCCAGGCTTGTGCAGCAAAGGCTTTTACCTGCTGAGTCACCTTACTGTCTCTTTTACATTTTTTACAAGACAGGATTTCTTTGTGTACCTTTGGAGCCTGTCCTGGAACTCGCTCTATAGACCAGGTTGGCCTCAATCTCAGAGATCCACCTGCTCTGCCTCCTGAGTGCTGGAATTAAAGGTGTGCATCACCATCACCTGGCCCCCTTTTCCATGTTTTAAATATTTTTTTGTAAAGAATCAATTGTTGGTCAATTGGTCTCTGTGTCCTGAACTGAAATGACCTTAGAGTTACTTGAGTAGCTGGGACTACAGGTATGCACCACCACATCCAGCTAAGTCAGTGCCCTTTATATATAATTCTACTACCATACTCTCTTGTGCACAAAGATAACTGGCTTCCTTCTTAGCATATTTAATGTGGATAATGGTCTGGATGAGGTGAGTGTGAAGTTATTTTGGGTATATGTTAAGATAGACTTTATCTGGTAGAACAAATGAGTAAATATATCGATGCTGTCAGAAGCTAGAATTTTCACTGCGGAATGAGGAAGGTGTGAAAGAACTGTGACACAAAACTATGGCTGAAGGTTTCAGCGTGAACTTGTGATTTCTTCTTCTTCTTCTTTTTTTTCTCTGTAGCTTTGGAGCTTGTCCCGGAACTAGCTTTTGTAGACCAGGCTGGCCTCGAACTCACAAAGATCTGCCTGCTTCTGCCTCCCAAGTGCTGGGATTAAAGGCATGGGCCACCACCGCCAGACTCGAACTTGTGATTTCTTAATATATATGGATATATATATATATATATATATATATATATATATTAGTTTTTTGAGACAGAGTTTCTCTGTAGCTTTGGAGCCTGTCCTGGCACTAGCTCTTGTAGACCAAGCTGGCCTCGAACTCACAGAGATCCGCCTGCCTCTGCCTCCCGAGTGCTGGGATTAAAGGCGAGAGCCACCACCGCCTGGCGCGGGTATTTATATTTCTAAGGCTTGTCTATTATAGGAGTCTAGAAATAGTGACCACATCTTTCACACAGATCTTAGTTTCTAAATACCATTCAAT